GCGCCCAGCTCCGGGCACGGCCTCCTGCAGCTCGTCGTCCACGTACAGCCGGACCCTGCGGGGGGATCGGCGTGGCCTGAGTGGGAGACTCTGGCAAGCCGGCACCACCGGCCCCGTGAGGGTGGCCTGGGACATACCCATGGACATCGCTGTAGAAGGCCACGTAGTGGGTCCTGTCGTCTGCGTAAGTATTTCTCGTGGTGAATTCAGTTTGCAGCACGTTCAAGGCCAGCTGGCCCCCCTTGAGAGACACCTGGCAAGTCCCCTCCTGGGAAAAGCATCACCCTGTTACCGTTGGGCAGCCAAAGCCCAGGGAAGGTCGTTCCCCACCCTGCCTGCAGGAGCTCAGGTGCCCGCCGGGGTTCCCACCTGGGTGGCGTGGTGGTAGAGCAGCCCCTCGCGCTGGCTCGTCCGGAAGCTGAAGCCCGAGTAGAAGTCCTGCAGCTGGGGCACGTTCTTCAGGGACAGGGTCAAGTAGCCATGGCCATGGAAGTTAACGGAGCGAGCCACCTGCGAGGGACACCACACGAAGAAGGATGAGAGCGCGCGACCTGCCAGCCCCACCACAGCTCTTTGCTGACCCTTGACAAGCCACTGAACGTCTTCAGGTTGCAGTTTCCCATGGGTGGGATTGTAGGGATGCCGGGAGGACAACCTAGTCGCTCGGGTCCTTTGGTCAAGGCACTGAGAAGCTGCTGACTTTTTGCTCATTCCCTTGTAAACGAGCCTGTTCCTGCTTTTGTTTCCCCAACAGACCCTTTCCCCAGGCCCAGGGAGGCGGGTGAGCGTGCAGGCCCAGCTGCTGTGGCGTCTCACTTACCAGGAGGTCCGAGGTGCACCCGTAGCTCACGCCAACTGTGCTCATGCGCTTCAAGTCGACGTATTTGCCGAGAGCCTTCAAACCCTTCATGCAGCCCCGGATGGGCCCACCCGTGGGAAACAGCGCTTTCAAGCTGCAGGAGAAGCAGGTGGCGTTACCAGGGCTGCCCCAGGCAGGATCTGGCCCCATGGTCCCATCCAGCCCTTCACGCACTGCACCCAGGCAGGACCACAATGCTTGCGGGGTGTCTGCAGTGCCTCGAGCATGAGACTGCTCCAAACCACCAGCAACGCCAAGGAGGGCTCAGCAACGCCAAGGAGCACCTCATCTGGCACCAGATGCCCATGGCAATAGGCTGGAAGAAGAAACCTCCCAGGAGCTCTGCAGGGACCCCACCAGCAGCCCAGGATCTGGCAAGAAAGCATCGGTACCATCCCAGCCCTTTCCAGGGGTGCTGGAGGGGAAGACATGGACTCTCCCCATCCTTGGCCCATGTGTCCTCAGCCACTGTGGTGCCTGCACGAGGCTGGACTCACCTGGGGGGTAGCACAGCCGGGGGCACGCCGCCCAGGTAGTAGGAAACCGCGTTCTCCAGGGAGTTCTCCTGCTCCACAATGAAGATGGTGAGTCGCTCTAGCCGCACCAGGATGCGCTTCTTGTTATTCATTTTGAGGAGGAATATCTGGATCTAGAGACGGAGTGAAAATTGTGGCGACTGAGTCTATCTGGCAAAACTGCAGGTGGTCCACAGCTGCAGGTGAAGAAAACCCATGAGGGAGGCCAGAGCCTGCAGGCTTCAAATCTTCCCCTCCAAATGAGGATCCGAGACCCCACTTTGCCCCGTGGATGAACAGTCCTGGGAGAGACAGAGCTGAGACCCAGCAGTGGAGCTGTGGCAAGGAGGAACCTTGGAGGACGGACTGGCCGAGCCCGGCTGGATCCCCCACCAGGGCAGTGCAATGGCCAGGAGAGCTGGGCTGCTCTCGCCCGTGCCGGCCTTCCAGGGGCTGCGGCTAAGCTCCCC